TTTTATATTTTAGATTTCATTTTTACACGATTTATTTATATATCACGAAATGGATAAAGAGCATTTGCTACATTTTTCTTCCTGATGATATCATGAACTTCGACGTAGAACCTGTACACGAAAAATCAACAATCGAGTAACATATCGAATATTTCAAATGTGTCGAATATAACTAATTAACGCCGCGTTCTATGACTTTTTTCTAAGTTAATAATATGCAATATGTTAATTTTGCCTAAGATATGCAATAAAAGTTAAAGTATACGATAAACTATCTACCAATCAGTTAACACATATGATAAATTCAATATAATAAATTCAATATCGTAGGACTTGTGCGTCTTTCATAGGCATACGATACGAAATCGTTCGGTCTAATCAAAATACGAAATATAATTAAAAATGTAAATGTAATTACAAACTAATTATGCATAATAAATACTTAACTTATTGCATGAATTATACAAGATGAATTCTAAATTATGAGCGCAATAAAATTGATATGAGAAAAGTTAAGAATATGTCTAGAATAGGTCAGTAGTCGTGAAATAAACTGGCTATCAAAGTACATGGCAATCTTGTCTTCAAGTTACAAGCGTGCAGAAACTGAAAGTGATCTTACACAGTTAATAGTACTCTTAACAATTTGTCATTAATAAAGATCATTGATCTTTACGCAAGATCGTAATCTCCGGAGATTTTAAGAAATTCGCGTGATTTCTCGAAACTTCAGATTCCGTGCGAGGGGAAAACAGCTATTAAGTCCACACAATACTCCGTGACGCATACACAATCGTAGTTAGACACGGTCCATCAAACAATTATTATTTCATAGTGAAAAGAGGATTATACAATAGGACAATTGCGTGGCACTATTTCAGTATGGTCTGAGTTTCTACTCATCTTCCTGATTGACTAGATTCAATTTGTTCGATTACAATAGCGTTCGCAATATATCGAAGTCATCCTGCGGCTTCGCAATCGCTGGTTTGATGGTGATTCTTTTATTGTTCGCAGCGATCGCCTACATCATCCTGACGGCGGGTCAAGTATCGCGCTGATCCGTTCTGATAGTAAACTTCTTTTTCTACTCTCTGTTCTCGACTACGCCGCAATTATGGCAAGTTTCGTTACGTATAACCAAAGCCTATTCATAAGCAGATGTACCGCATGCAATATGTATCAAGTCCTCCCTATCTACGACAGCACTATTAAACGTTAGCATATAAAAGCTAGACTGATCTCTCTCGCGAGAGTTTAAGATACACATGGGAAATTATTGAATCGTGTAACAACGTGTCGGATGAGCTGTGAGCGACGGTGCGACGTGACCCGACATGATCGGCGTTCGATATACATATATAAACATTATCTGTATGTTTCTTCGTTCTTGAAAATGACAAAGCTGTCGATTTTATTTCATCCCTCGCGTATATTCGGCAAGCTCCTTGCAAACAGATAGAAGAGAGAAGACAAAACTTTCTCTATTCTCGGACTGATGGAAACTAACGATCGATACGTTAAATTAATAATCGAAAAGCTAAATTAAGAAATGTACTGGTGCTAGAAACATTCAACTGTATATATCGCGTGTTTTGGCTAATCGAAATTCGCTGCTGACCGACAATGTGCCCATTATTCCTTAACTCGTGCAAAATTAGATTCGCACGCCGATGAAGATAATTTCTTTTTACTTCCATTAGAAGAGACTTGGTCTTATTCCTTAATGTGGTCAGCAGCAGGAAGGTTTCATGCCACTTTTTTCTTACTAGTCTTCTTACTGCGAGGCAAAGTAGCGAAACTCGTTATCTGAAATACACGAAGATACAATGTTATTATAAGATACAATGTTATCATGGAACTTAGATGGCGTGTTGTCAATCTCTTTCGCCATTTTTCATATTTCTGATGAAAATTGGTCAGTAAATGGTAAAAAAAGGAGAGCACATTTTTAAAAAGTTTAAACTGCAATTTGGATAATTTAATATGCATTATTTATATTATAAGCCAATCATAAGATAATTCAAATATTAGAAATTCTTCATCTTAAATGAACAGGACATTCAATTGTACAATTCAAGAAAGTTATGCATTATTGATTGCATCATAATGTCACATCAGAAATTAACATCATGCAGGACTAAAAGTTGAGGATGATGTTATGTGTTTTAAACGATTAAAAATAGAAATTGTAGTTAATGCTGGATTAACAAGACTCAGAACTCAACAAAACTAGTCCATACGATCTTAATGGAACAGTCCATCTCTTCTGTCCGGATTTCCAATTAGGATAAAGTATAGGATAATATGAGATATAGAAAATGGGATAGAGGGAAAAGGAACAAGCTTCTGTGATATTTTAAAAACATGAAAGAAAAAACAGATATACGTAATTATTTAACACAGCTAACATAATTTCCCTGTGAAATATGAGACATTAATAAAATGCTTTTAATTAATATCAGTGATTATTTCTTTCTTGCCACTGTGGATCAGCGACTGTGATTCACAAGTTTCCGATCTGTATTTCTTTTCGTGGTTTTTTTCATCATTTTCAGATTTTTCCACATTCATTGTACTTTGTTCTTGTTTATTATTCTCTATTTTAAGATCCGTTTCGACTTCATTCAAAGGTGCAACCTTAGTACACAATTTTTCAGCGAAAGAATTCATATCTCTATCAAAATTTTTAGTACTGTCATTACGCTCCGGTCTCAGTGGAATCTCTTCCACATCCATTTCCTGTTTTGAAGCAGATAATTTTGCAGATGCGTCCACGAACACCTGGGATCCAATGCTACCCGACCTCGACGCGGATCCACTCGTCTCGGAATATGTCGAACTGGAATCTTCATCCTTGGAAGAAGTTCCGCTTTGCTCCTTGTGGAAAGCGCTGTGAAAAATGTTCTTCGGGATCGTTAATAATTTGGAAAAATTCTCCTTAGCGCGTAATCTATTAGATTTCTTCTTTTTCTTTTTCGTGTCCGGGGCGTGCGCCAAGAATATGTCTTTCGTAGCATCCGCGTTCGAGACAGTTCTTAACGTTCCAGTTTTAATGACCAAGGTGGCCTTCAGAGCATTTTGAGACTCGTTCTCGTTAATATCTTCATTATTTATTATCGCCTCGTTACTTATTGGAGCTTTCGGAGCGGGCTTTTTATGGTATTTTCCCGCGCGATTATCACCGTCGAGGTCGTAAATCGACGTGCTCGGTGTAACGGGAGGCTGGGTCACGACATCGCGGGCACGAATGCTCGACGAATCGTCAATTTCAGTTTCTCGTATACTTGCATGTTCCTTACCTCTATCGATCGCATTCAACTTTTCTTGGGAAGACACAAGGCCCGTTACGGCTTTATGCGCATCGTCCAGCAATTGCTTCAGCTCGTCGAATTTTTGCTGACAAATCTCGCCAGTTATTCGTTCGAGATCAGCTCCTACGTCAGGCTTTTGGGAAACAGTTGAAGCTACTTGATTGCCTTTCGGTTCGTCATCAATATAGTCAATTTGCGCGTTAGAATCGATTTGCTGAAAATTAGATTCTTTTATCGAGCTATCGGTATTTATCCTGTCTACGCTTTTCATCATTGTAAGTATCGACAAATTCTCCGTCGAGATATTCTTGATCTCTATGGTTTGCACTGTTTGTACGTCTATTTGAGCTGAGTCTGTGTCAACGAACTCGCCGCTCGATTCCGTCGACGACGACGACGACGACGACGACGACTCATTATCTTCTATTTTCATTGCGGATTGATTTTCGTTTGCAAATTTATCGCTATCAATACAAGTGATAACAGATTCGAATGTCGAGCGGTCTATCGATTTATTATTCTGAGACAACAATAGCAAAAGTTCGACAGCTTGTTCGGGAGTGAGGACGTTCAGGGACGACGGTAGGGACGACGGTAGGGAAACATTTTCGGGAGATGTTCGGTCGAAATCCTCGCCTCTGTCCTTCAAAGATCACAAAAGAAGGTACGTATCATTAATTGAGTTGATGAAATGCGTATCAAAGACAAGATGTGATCTCTTTCTTTTTGTTAATGACACCGATGTAAGAGTTATTAGTCCGTACGGTTGATCGGGCTTACCTCGGGCGTTTTCTTCGTGGTGGAACGTGGCTTCATGCGTGTTCTCGCACCGACGCTCGACGTTCTCACTAAGGAGTCGCCCTGAGATGTCGCGCGCTGGGATTGCAGCGCCTCGCCGCTACTGTAACCGCTAGATATGTCATCCGAGGACCTTATATTTCTATAAAACATGAGGGGACTCGTTACATAGACACAGTTCAACGTCAACAGTAATTTTTGCAATCGTTGCGCGAATTACGTACGTCAAACTAGCTATGGGTTCTCTAGGCCTTGGCTGCCGCACATCGACATCCACTTCGGAAAAATACATCTCTACTCGGGATGCGTTGCTGCTGGACTGGGTCCTGCGAGGACTATAGCCTCTTCTGCCGACGTGCTCTCTTCGACGAGGTTCTACTGCAATAGATGAGAATCAGATCTTTATTTACTCCAAGGTAAATCGTCATAATTAAGCGGATTGGAATTTTATTAATTTTGTTTTGCATTCAACGATATATTCTTAGATTCTTCTTTTAAGAATTTATTATGTATATAATTCATACAGAATTAAAAAAAATGACGGCGGATTTAATTACAAAATCGACAAAGGATGCAAAGATGCGAGGAAGAAGGAGCGGGAAATATTTGCGAAATGTTCTCTTGTCCGTTAAATTCGAGTACATTTCACTTTTATTTCTTCAAACTCTCCATTTAATTGGCGCAACGATAGAGACCAGCTACCTTCCATGTCTATCTCGTCACGCGCATCGGGTGTGTTTCTATTTTCGTCCTCCTTCTCGCCGGTTAGATCACTGAGGCTGTAGCTTTTCCTCAATTGTTGCACCAGTCCGCCGCCGCCCTGAAAAAGGAATCGCTCGTGAAATATATGTGACCGCAGACAACGCGGTCAGCGTGTTACTTGCTGCGAGAGAGAAAAAAAAGAGAGAGAGAGAGAGAGAGAGAAAAAAAGAATTAAGTCATCGAGAGAAACTCAGAGAGTAAGTCGACTAAGTAAAAGAAAACAAAATAAAAGTCTTACCAACCAAAAAGATGTTAATGTGTTATCTGCCGTCACCCGGTCGTGAACCCGGTCAAACTCCCCCTACTCCGTATTTAGATCAAT